GATGGCAATGTATTTGCAACCCTACATCTTTATTGTAACCGCATTAAACACCCTGCAGCAACAAATGGAGTTTCTTAGACTGGATCGTCAGGAGATGTGAAGGAGGCGTAAGATCTTGCTCTTCCATGGAATTCCCGAGGTGAAATCAGAAGACCTTATCGGTCGTGTAACCACAGCTGTTGCTGAACATCTGAGTCTGCCTAATTTTCCAAGTACCAGCATCAAGTCCATCTATCGCCTTGGCCGCACATCGGAAAGCAGAGCTAGGCCGGTAGTTGTAAAGTTCGCCGAAGTTTCTGTCCGTGACAAAGTGTGGTTCGCGAAAACTAAGTTTAAGGGTACTGGCATCACACAGTCGGAGTTCCTAACGCAGCCTCGACACAGTGTATTTCTTGAGGCTCGGAAGCGTTTTGGCGTGACAAATTGCTGGACTCGCGATGGATGCATATACGTAATTAGCTTGGATGGAGTTCGCCATCGAGTAGAATCTTTAAACGAGCTTGATGTTATAAATGTTGCATCGTCTTCGTCTAAGCCTCTTGCAGCGAATTCACCAGTACAGATATTAGAATCTTGTTCTAAGAGCCCAAATACTAAGACTATTATTATGCGCCCCAAGCGAGTAATTAAGAAGTAGTTTATTGCGGTAATGTGAATTTGTCCTTTAATTAAAACATTCTTCTCATTATGATCATAGCACTGTTTAACTTCTTTTTGTTATATTTTATTGTAATGTATTGTTTTAGTTTTAAGGTTAAGTACTTTTAATTTTAAAGCAATGTCAATTGTCAACTTGACATGACATTTTATATTATTATATTCTAACGGATTGGGACTTTTCCATACAGCCTATTATTATATTGGATTGGGATTTCTCCATTCATCCTATTCATTATCATAGGTTCGTTGTAAAATATTATCTTTCACTATACATATGTATGTTATAGTGAAGTTTATTAGGATTTTTTTCTCTATATTTTTTCTAATCGTGTTATGATGACCTTGAATTTTATCTTTGCTGGCAATGTGTATACTTCGATTGAATGTGTAAAAACTAAAAACTTGTTGGTAGGTATAAAAGCTTACAAATTTGCGTAGTAGTTTATATAGGTAATTTTATTGTTATAGTATATTATTTGTTTATGTTTATATATTCATGTTATTTAAAGATATAAGCTTGGACGTCTCCTTTTTATCATTTTCCTCCACTGATGGATTGAGTAGTTACGGCAGTTTCCATTGTCTCCCTTCTCTTTCTGAAACCCTTGATTTACATTTCTCAGATGTTCTGAAAAATTTTAATGTTGTTCATATTAACGCTCAGAGTATTCCTGCACATTTTCCAGATATGCTTTCGTCTTTTGATAACAAGAACATCCACGCTATCCTAATCTCCGAAACATGGTTAAAACCTTGTTTATCCTCCACATCTTATGCTCTTCCTGGCTTTCACCTCATACGAAATGATCGGACCAGTAGGGTTGGCGGAGGTGTTGGCATATATATTCGATCCCACATTACTTTTAACTTGATCAGTGTATCGCAAGAACAGGCTATACCAGAGGCGGAGCATTTATTTATCGAGGTTATGTTATCCAACCTGAAATTACTGCTCGGTGTGTATTATAACCCCAGTCTCACAATAGATTATTTTACAGGACTCGAAAATCTGTTAGACATGTTTATCCCACAATATGAGCACTCGATTATTATGGGTGATTTTAATACTTGCCTGTTAAAAAATGACTCTCATGCATTCCGTCTCAATTCTTTCGTCAAGGCAGCAAATCTACATATTCTTCCTCTCTCGGCAACGCACAACTTTCCAAATTGTTCTCCATCTCTCCTTGATCTTATTCTAGTTTCCTCAGTAGACTTTGTATTGAAACATGGTTAATGTCCTGCAGATGCCTTTTCTTACCATGATTTGCTATATTTATCCTATAAAATACGCCCACCCAAAGCTAAATCTAGAATTCTTCTCCAACGTAATTTTAGTGGTATGAACCTTGATCTTCTGCGAGAGGATGCATCTCAGATTGACTGGGCTGAAGTCCTTACTGGGGACAATACTGATGAACGGGTTGAAATTTTTAACTCTCTTTTAATGAAGCTTTATGATACCCACGCTCCAATACGCCGAGTAAGAATTAAACATCTTCCTGCTCCTTGGCTAACTGAGGATATAAAAACGCTACAACACAAAAAGAATATAGCCAAAGCTAAATATAAAACCAACGCCAGTGAAACCAACCGCATTAAATACACAAGCATTCGGAATCGATGCAACAGATTGTGTAGAGATGAACAACGACGCCATATCCATAAATCTGTACTCGAGGAAAAAGATTCCGGAAGAGTATGGAAATTTCTGAAAACCCTTGGGGTTGGGAAAGCAAATAGAAATTGTCCCTCAAATTATAGTACCTTCGATTTAAATAAGCTCAATCAGCATTTTTCCTCATTTTGTACTATTGATAGTACCTTAAAACAGAATACTAAAAATAAAATTTTAGCTTTACCCACCCCTGATGATCCCGCTTTCGTATTTAGTCAAATCGACTGCAGTGATGTTAAGAGAAGTATTATGGAAGCTAACTCTGATGCTGTTGGTTCTGACTGCATTAGTCGTAAAATGATCACTCCTCTTCTCGATTTTCTAGCTCCTGTCATTGTGTCCATCTTTAATCATTCCATATCTAGATATTTTACGGTTCCCTATCCACGTTGATTTATATTTGAATTCTAAAAAAAAAAAAAAAAAAAATTATACTGGGAAATGAAAAATAACTTCCCTTCATAAACTTTTTCCAGGCTTAGGACTTGCTGCAATATTCAATTACTTATTATTATAAATAAAATTGTGCAGGCGTGTATAAAAGTTGATCATTCTATGTACATAATTTTCTTATATTTAAAAATTAATAGCGGTTGCTTCCCTACTTTCCTGGAAGGATGCACAGATAATTCCTCTTCCTAAAAAAACGAATCCTTCCAGTTTCTCTGATTATCGGCCTATTTCCATTTTACCATTTCTATCAAAAGTTTTTGAACGCATTGTTCATAAACAATTGACTTTATTTCTTTCCAAATCCAACCTTTTAAATCCGTTTCAATCCGGTTTCCGTTCTGGTCATAGTACGACTACTGCATTAGTAAAAATTACTGATGATATCCGGTTCGGTATGGATAACCAGTGTGTAACAGTATTGACTTTACTAGATTTCAGCAACGCTTTCAATAATGTTGATTATGAGTTACTTTTAGCCATTCTCACTTCTCTAAACATATCTCCTAAGGTCGTTGACTGGTTTCACAGTTACTTGCACGGGCGCCGGCAACGGATTAAGATCGAGGAGAAGTATTCGGACTGGAGTCCGATAAATGCCGGGGTACCGCAAGGTGGCGTGTTGTCTCCTCTCCTATTCTCAATCTTGCCGGGGTACCGCAAGGTGGCGTGTTGTCTATCCATCTTCATTAGTTCAATCGCTCAACATTTAACTTCTCTCTACCATCTGTATGCTGATGATCTCCAAGTCTACGCTCAATCCAAATTACCAGATTTAACCATAACAATAGATGCAGTTAATAAAGATCTAAACACCATTGTAGAATGGAGCAATTCTTATGGACTGAAAGTAAATCCATCCAAAACACAAGCTATTATTATAGGCAGCCAAAGATTGGTTTCACGAATTGACTGGGCTACTCTTCCTTGTATAGTTTTTGACGGGGTCCAATTGCAATATAGCGATACGGTTAAAAATATAGGTGTTGTGTTTGATAAATTTCTCTCTTGGGTTCCTCAGGTTAGTGGAGTGAGTAGAAGGATGTTTGCAGCAGTCAATTCTCTTCGTAGATTGAGTTACTTCTTACCCATACCTACCAAAATTGCGCTCGCGGAATCTCTCCTCTTACCAATTCTAGATTATGCCGATACATGTTACTTAGACTTAAGCGTTGAACAACTTAATAAACTTGAGCGCATCCAAAATCTTTGCATACGGTTCACATTTGGACTTCGTAAATATGACCACATTTCTGAATTCCGAAATAAGCTCAAGTGGCTTCCAATCCACCTTCGCAGGAATACTCACCTTCTTTTGCTCTTATATTCTGTTCTATTCGATCCAACCACCCCTCCTTATCTTAAGAAGCGATTTGAGTATCTTTGTGATTCTCACCCAGATTGATCTCTCCGCTCCGATGACAATTTAATCCTCAGAAATCCTCCCCATAGTACATCTTTCTACTCCAAATCCTTTTCTGTGGAAGCTGTTCGGCTCTGGAACTCTCTCCCACTACATATTAGGCGGGCACAATCCCTACCTATTTTCAAGCGACTTTTAAGAAAACATTTTATGCCTCCTTAATCATTGTGTTCCATTCCTCGATGTTGTCAACTTATATCTAAATACTTATACATTATTTATAACGTATATATTTATATATCGTGTTTGCATGTGTATTTATGTATAATTTATTAATATTTATTTATATTTTGACTTATAAGTTTCTCTTATTAATTCAGTGTACACCGTTACCCGATGCTACTGTTTTTACTATTTCCTTTTACTAGGTTGCCTGGAAGAAATCGCTTCTTAGCGATAAGGCCGCCTATTGTACAGTTTTGTATTATTTTAGTTGATTCTTCAATATCCGTTGGTTGTGTACAATAAAGTATATTTCATTCATTCATTCATTCATTCATGTGTTGCAAATATCCATGGGTCTGTTATCACTTAACATCAGGCGTACCGCCAGTTTTTCATATTAAAAAAATATATATATTGCAACAATTTTACTTTAACAACGCCGTGGAGTGTGGACATGCGTCAACTTTATTAAAACATTACGTTCAACGTCAATTGTAATACTTATGATCATTATAATTTAGAATATATAGCGAAAACATGTTAGGATAGACACTTCTGAATCTATAGGTATGTACATACACGGATTGAAGTGAAGGGAAAATTCTCACTTATTTTGTGTTGCAGGTGTCCACGCGCACTGGAATCGTGTCGCACTACGTAAAGCTACAGATCGTGGTGCCTGAAGCTTTCATTTTGGGCTCCGGCGAGCATCATGTCGACTTGGGCAGCGTCATACACCTCATTTGTATCGTCGAAAAGGTAAACCTTTCAACTTACAATACAAGAATACAATATCGGCCTATCGCCGTCCACAGCTGAACGTAAGCCTCCCCCAAAGTGCGCCAACTACCCTGGTCCTGGGCAGCCCGCATACACCCGCTCCTAACTTCAACTTACTTTCAACTTACACCTGTTTTTTTTATAAATGCTGCTTAAATTATGCCTAGTAAGGCAAAGTCGTGATTTTCCTATTGACAACCAAAAAAATTTATTGCATTTTATTTTGTTTTCATTAGCCAATTTACAGGTTCATCGGTTTATTTTCTTAAGACAAAAAAAACTTAACTCAATCGCTACGGACGATTCTGTCAATTATAAGCGAAGGCAATTTTACTCTAAGCTGCTTTAGAACATAATAAACAGTAAGTTGCTAAAATTTTAACAAATAAATAAAATTGAAAACAAATTACACCAAAAACTTGAATTTTTCCAAAACAGTTGTAGGCATAACTCAGATAAATCGTTTCGCTTCTATTGTATCATTTAAGAAATAAAGCAATTTCGTATCCAACGTCAGAGCGATAGCAATCTTTTGAACCCACCTTGTACAAAATACTCCCAAGGGAGTCATCTCATTGCGCGTCAGAAACGTATCCTCCCACATAAAAGCATACACAGCCTGGAATTGAACGCATAAAAGCTACTATTGTTATAGCGATGAGATCATTCGTAACTTTTATTGGTCACTAATGGTATTCTCACTGTAACGGGTTAACGACTATCGCTATGGTGGCAATAAATTCGCCGGCTCGCTGACCAACGATTGTGCTGTATACGGTTGTAGTTAATGCGTCGGTGAAATTTTGTTCCCCTATAAACAGGGAGGAAAACACGTCCTACCTATATATAAACGTATACATATCTCCTTTATACCTTCCTACTCTCGTTTGTATCAAGGTTAAAACGTTTTTTATCGTTATCTCACTTCCTTAAACGACGGAGCTGGGTATTAGAACCACTGATGCAAAATTTTAAGGTGACACGAGTTCTTCCATACATTGATTTGGTGTTTAGCTCGCGCGAATTTTAAGCCATTTCCGCTGCATAGTCGTCGTCACTATCATAATCTTCTTACCTGAAATAAGAAAAATTCATTATTTCATAAGCAGAGGACAACAGCAAACGAAAAAAGGTCTAATCTATTTCTTTAATTATTCAAAAGTTAACCTTCTTTCTGATGGGACAGATATTTTAGGCATCTTCCTTACAGAGGAACAAAATAAAGACATATATAGTCTTAACATGTGACTATATATAATACAACTCACCGTCATAGTGACGCTTTCTTTTATTTTGACATAAATAGTTTTATTAAGTCTAGTTTTAAGGTGACAAAAAATACTTGGTATTTGCCATTATATTATAAGAAAATAATTGCTACTTTAGTAGCATATAATATACAAAACCCAGTTGTACATTGTACAACTAAGAACATTTTACTTAGCAATAATTTTACAAAAAACAATGTTAGTTTAAACTAAACATTGAGACAACACCTAAGCCACTTAAATTAAATATTGTACACCAAAATATACAAGGTGGCAAAGAACCTGAAATTGAGCTGTTTCTTAGAAGATTTAACATCCATGTCATCTGCTTCACAGAGACATGGTTACATAAGCATTTTAATATTATAGATATAGAGAACTATAAATTGTTAAGTTCGTTCGTAAGAGCAAATGCTATTCGCGGTGGCTCTCTTGTGTTAGTAAGAACTGATATAGTCTGTAAAAATCGACAGGATATAGTAGCACACTCTGTCGAACGTTCTATAGAATTATCCTGCGTTGAGAGTCAACAGTATATTATAGTATGCGTGTATCGACCCCCCTCAGGTGATTTCGATCTCTTTGAGTGTGTAATGGATGATGTACTTAAAAAACTCTGTTCAAGTAGTAAATCAATAGTAGTTTGTGGAGATTTTAATGTGGATTTATTACAAGTGACACATCTTAGTAAACGACTTTTAAATTTATTTAGTTCATTTAAACTTAATAATCTTTTTCATGAACCAACTCGTGTCACTAACTCATCCTCCACATGTATAGATAACGTTTTCTGCCACGTTAATGTATATGATAAATATGTTATAAATTATCTGAGCTCTGACCACTTTGGTTTAAAATTTTCAATAAATGAAAAAGTTATTACAAGCAAACATAAGATCAAGTGTAGACCAGTCACTACTAATAGAATAAATTCTTTTAAAGACAAAGTGGCACATCATATGTTAAATAAAGATATAGAAGTCAATAATCCTAATGATTCTTATAAATCAATGGTTGACTTTCTCATATCTTCTTATAATGATGTATTTAAATCGCGCTCAATTGTTAAAAATTCAAAATTAAAATTTAGTGACTGGGCAACAGTGGGTATATATAAAAGTAGGGATTCACTGTATGAATTATATAATATGAGGCAGTGGAATCATGACCCCAACTTTCATAAAAGGGTACAAATGTTCTCAAAAATATTTAAAAAAGTCTGTATTCAGGCAAAATCTATTCATATAAGAAATAGAATAATAAATTCAAACATCATCATCATTACCCGTATATCTGGAAGACCCAAGATATTCAGGGAACCTATAAAACTGGTTATAGGTAATACTCCCATAACATCAGATAATGAAATTGCAAGTGGTTTTGAAAGCTATTTTTCAGAAATTGCAGTTAATGTCACATGTACATTAAAATCATCTCCCATAGATGCAATTAACGTTCTAAGAAATAATGTTACCTTTTGTCCCCACACATTTAAATTTAATCACGTAGATACTTATGATATTATAAAAGTTTTGAATTCTATTAATCTTAAGAATACAGGGGATTTATGGGGCATGTCCATAAAATTAATGACCACAATAATGCCATATATTGCACCACATTTAGCTAATATTTTTAACAACTGCATAGAATCTGGAATATTTCCAGATCTTATGAAATTTAGTAAGATAATCCCCGTCTTCAAAAGTGGGGATAAAAATGATCCAGGAAACTACAGACCTATCTCCATATTGCCATCTCTGAGTAAAATTTTTGAAAAACTAATTTTAAATCAGCTCTTAGTACATTTTAATATGAACAAAATTTTTCACAATGAGCAATATGCATTCACTAAATGCAGATCGACAACAGATGCGGGTATCGCACTTGTCAAACATATTTATAACGCCTGGGAAGGGTCGCAAGATGCAATAGGTGTTTTTTGCGACCTTTCAAAAGCTTTCGACTGCGTGGATCACAAAACCCTCCTTTTAAGCTTGATTATTATGGCATTCGTGACATCACCCTCAATCTCATTGCTTCTTACCTTAATAATAGAATTCAAAAAGTATCTATAAATGATGTAAATTCCGCAGGGTCCCCCATGAAAATGGGTGTCCCACAAGGTTCGATCTTGGGCCCATTATTATTCTTAGTATATATAAATGATCTCCCCTTTTATGCCAGTGAGTTATGTGATGTTGTACTGTTTGCTGACGACACATCGCTTATTTTTAAGGTTGATCGAAATGTATCGAATTATGACGACGTGAATAGTGCACTTTCGCGTATCCTCCACTGGTTTACCATTAATAATATGGTGTTAAATGCTAAAAAAATAAATGCCTTCTTTTTGCCCTTCCCAACGTAAGAAGGCAAAGTTTTAGCTTAAAATTGAATAGCGTAACCCTTAATCCTGTTGAGTCCGCTGTATTCTTGGGAATCACAGTAGATTCAAAGCTCCAATGGAGTCCCCATCTATCATCTCTTGGGAATAGGTTAAGCTCCGCTGTTTTTGCAATTAGGAAGGTTAGGCAGCTATCAGACATCGACACTGCCAGACTTGTTTACTACAGTTATTTTCACAGCATCTTGTCGTACGGCATTTTGTTGTGGGGTAGTGCATCTGATATAAATTAAATATTTATTATTCAAAAAAGAGCTGTCCGAGCAATTTATAACATCGGAGCCAGGAATACACTCAGAGATCTTTTTAAAGAGATTAATATACTCACTGTTGCGTCTCAATATATTTATTGTAATATTTTGTATGTTAAACAGAATATTAATAATTATCAAAAGAATAGTGACAGACATAAACTAAATACTAGAAATAAGGACAAACTAACTACGCCATTATTTCGCCTACAAAAAGTAAACAGATCGTTCATGGGGCAAAGTGTGCGCATGTATAATAAAATCCCACAGTCGATGTTAAGTCTGCCACTTGATGAATTTAAACGAAAAATTAAAAGTACACTTATAGCTAAAGCCTATTATACTATTGCCGAATATCTTGACGACGCCAATGTGTGGGGTTAATACTGTTGTACCTCACGTAGGCTAAAACAAGACTATTGTACCTGTACTATTATATTGTAAACTGATTTTTTAAAAAAGAGCAACTGTTGAGTTTCTTGCCGGTTTCTTCTCAACAGAAACTGCTTTCCGAAGCGGTGGTAACTTACGAACGTGTTAATTTCTTGTAAAATTTTGACGTTTCATAAGAACGCGCAAGCGTCTATGTGAATAAAGATATTTTATTATTATTATTATTATTATAGCTAAAAGATCCAACGATGACTAGTCCGCTCTAACAATCTTAAGGATTTACAAGTTGCTCGGGTGAATGTAGATAGGGGTCGACCATTAATCACGTGATAGCATTTTTAACCCCCCTCCTCCCCCTTGGTGATTCTTGGTGAGGTTCAAGACTAACCCCACCCCCACCCAAAATCAAGTGTATTTTTAGTGCCTACAAAGAATCTTAACATTATTAGCATATTATCTTTAAATACTGGCATGAAGCATATTCCACTTTTTATTCTGAAATTAAGGTCCATGATAAAAGTCTAACGCCGTGTCAAGGTTACGCCGCTTTTCTACTCTAATCTTATTACAAACCCCCTACCCCTTGTGATATTTATTCCAAAGCGACCCCCCCCCCCCCCCCCCCCACTCCACCCCCTTCGAATTATTGATGGATTGAGACAGGTGTGGAAGTTGCGACGTCAACAACAGCAGACAATCGTAGCGCGCTACAGAGTAACAAAACGGTGCGATAACAACACGAGGCCGCTTTTCAGAGCCCGACCCCCCCGCAGTACGTGTTCTGGTACCACAACGACCGCATGATCAACTACGACGCGACCCGCGGCGGGATCACCGTGGAGACGGAGCCCGGACCCCGAACGCAGTCCCGGCTCACCGTTCGCGGCGCCACGCTCAAGGACTCCGGGAACTACACCTGCAGCGCCAGCAACACCGAACCGGCCTCCATACACGTGTTCGTCTCTGAAGGAAGTGAGTAGCTTCAACTGCGGTGCGGCCGCGCAGCAGTCCGCTGTCTGTCGAGAGGCACCACGACCTCGCAGGAGGCGGGCGTAGTGTTATGATTCCGCGTTTCGTCTCGCGAGTGAGCCGGCGCCCGCTTACAATCGAATTGGCAATGCATCTTCATCCCTGCGCGTGTTGCAAATATCCATAGGCGGCAGTTATTACTTACATCAGGTGAACCACCAGCTCATTTGCCACCTTCTCACATAAAAAAGTAGTAGGTCGGCTGAAGATTTTGCCAACGATCCAGTTTGCTTGTCTATAGATTGCTTTGCAGACGACAGGCCATGACATAATTTAACTACATCTCTCCTCCGGCATTCGTTCTAGAGTATGAAAGCACCCTACCTGATTAATCAAGCAATGGTTAATCATGTTTATCCTAGGAAAATAGAATAGAGACAATGTTTAAAACATACTTCCTTTAAATATTTAAAACATACTTCTTTTAAATAATACTTTCAACAGTTTAAGATTTGTCAACTTTTTCCCCTACAGCTTCATCCATATTTGTTCGCGTTCATGAAAAAGGATGAAATTACATTTCCAGAAGTTTCTGGGTTCGGTTATTATCAAAATAAATAAATTTCATCGACTAAAAGAATATTGAACTATTTAAAACATTGATAAAAAAAGCACAATTTCCAAGAGATTAAATATCATTTCATTAAATGAAAAAATAAGTAGAACAATAAATGAATCCTGAATCCGGAAGGCGAGAACATACATGAAAATTGCAATCAACGTAGTGCTTAATAAAATGGAATACGTTTTCAATACTTTTAATTGTTAAATTGAAAGGCGAAAACAATCGAATGAGTAACGTGATTGTTAACTCTGTTAAGTAATGATTTCATCCCTGTTGATTCCGAAAATTATAATCAGTACTTAATTTAAAATTTATTCATTGGACGCAAAAATATAACATGGATGCTATATATATTTGCATCAAATCAATTCATTATGTGTAATAATGCTGTATCTTCGTTCATTATTATATCCTGTTGAATTTGATTTATACAGTTACGATATCTGTAGTCAGTAATAATTATACAAAGTTAACATATAATTATTATTAGATCTGCTCTGCACATAGGTTATTATAAGTTTATATAATTTTTAAGCACCTATGAATATATCAGATATTTTTCTGAGAACTTTCGCTTTATATTTGTCAGTGTTTTTCTTATGAAATAACTGTTTATTGTTGTTGATGTTAACTTTTAAGAGACGTGAAATGTTTATTTGTGTAGCGCGTTTTCCGTCATTCCACGTTAAATGCGTACTTCTATTATTTTGCTCAACATCCGACGAATAGCATACTTTTTAACGCAGTCCACAAATCTAATGTGAATAATAATTAGATTAAATTTCCTCTCTTCTCTCTTCTTGCTGCACCATTATAATTTAAATATAAATACATTTATGCCCAGTTTCCGAAAGGCCAATCAAAGCAGCAATCACATAACTCTATGTCAAAAATGATCAGCTGTTAATCTCTTGTTAAACTGCCTTGGGTTTCTGGAAGGTTTGTTCAAGAAAAATTAGCTAATCACTGTATAACCAATGATAATGAATGAAATGAATGATTCACTTCAACTAACTCTTTCTTTTGAATAGCTGTCCCTTTTTAAACAAAACTTAAATTAACGTCACTATCCAGTCCTGTCAACGTGTGATTGCCAACGTAAAAATTCGAGCTATAATAAAATTTAATTTATATAAATACATGCAAAATGTCAAAAAAAAAACTTTACAGAACGGAAAAAAATGAATTTTTATCCATAATAAACAAGTATTATAAAAAGAAAGAATCCATATTATTTATTAACTTTTGAATTGCATTTTGTATTTTTTCTAATCACATGATATATTCGCATAATAATAAATAATAAATAGGTAATAGAACACATGAATGTCCGAACAACGTATTAGGGAATTATGTTTATTTTTAATAAAAACTAAGATTTTTAATAAATAACATTTTTATTAACCAACGATTGATCGTCCAAATTGACAGATTACTTAATAAAACTTTTGACAGCTCGTTGACCACCGAAAAACGCTTTCAGAAACTCGATTTTCTGTTGATTGTCCGTTAATCAGTGACTAATTGCAAATCAAAATCAATGTTGTTTAAGACGTTCTAGCAACTCAGATCATGTTAAACAACGATTGACAAGAGATTTATCGTTAATTAAAATTGATTGCGCTTTCGGAAACTGGGTGTTAGTGTCTTTTATTATTTCATCCAAAGCACGAGAATCTTGTTTTTAAAAGAATAGGCTAGGTTTTTTACGACTTGACGCCCTCCATAGTAACAAACACCCCGATCCGAAGAAACAAGTCTGTGGGCCACACAAATACGTATTCCGTGTGGGAATCAACCCCTGGAATCGATGGCTTACGAACGGCGCCACCCAGTAATGTTACAGAATAAAAATTTCTTCTTAAAATAATAATTAAAAATCTATCAATCGAAATTATCGAATTGAGTTTGAACTCTTTTTATTGAATCGCTCAAATAATTCGGTAAAAATTATTAATTATTTACGTAGATACCAGAGATAATCGCTATCTACTAACCAGTTTCGCGCCATTACAGGCAACAAAATGGCGGCTATACTGCGTCGCAACACCAGCGCCATTCACGGAATCACCTCGAGCGTCACCTGCCTGCTGCTACTCTCATCAGTGATGATCCATTTCGGCCTACGATGACGTTTATATTAACACAGCGGTAGTTAAGATTCCGGTACTGTATGCAAGTGTAACTTGTCAACGCTAAATATTCAACACCAGATGCTGGTTGAAAGTAAATCAATAATACAGTAATTTAAACACTAAAATTACGCATTTGAAGATATATAATATTAACGATTGGTTAAATAGCAAGCATCGGCATTGTTACAGTTTTATTTCTTTTCAATAAATCACGGCCGATTATGATTTTAAAACATTTTTTTTTTCACCGCCTTATCAACCTAGTTTATAGGTGTAATACGAAAGGTACAGGCTTTTTTTTTTTTTTTTTTTTGAAACATAAAATATTTAGAGCCATAAAATACTTTTATAAACATTTAGTACTCTTAAAAATAAAAAAGGTAAAATTTTCCATTACCACAGTGTGATTTACCAGGTGCAAAAAATTTTTATTCGATAAAGAAAAATCTAATAAATGTAATAAACAACAGGTAGAATTATCTGGCTGCGCATAGTTTTCGAGAAAAAAATATTTAAAACTCGTTATTTTCACTAAGAAAGTCCTCCATTTTGTTATTGACAACATGTTAGATATAAATCTACTAAAAGATTTTTTATTTGAAGCCGCACATTTTTCCAAATGGTAATGTCGCATTGATAGAAAACACTGACGCTTTTTCGTCTTTGGTTTAATTATTACATTGTAACACTTAAAAACTTTCATATTAAATCAAAAACACGTCTTGTCCACACTTTAAACAAACAAAACTTTTGATACAAAAAAATTGAAAAGTACTGAATGATCTGATTGAGATTCTAATAAAATTTTATAAAAATAAATAAAATATAAATTACAATACGTACACAATTCACTAGTGCTAATAGACGCGCACATATTATCGACCATTACAAATACGAATATTAAATAGGAAATTGAAAAGAGCGGGAAATACTTATCTTTTTAAATTTAATTTATGATTAGGTACTCAAATATCAATACAGCCAATATGCTAATATCGATTTCGGAACTCGATTACAAATTTTATAAAATCTTTTTAATCGGTAGTATAAATTAATTTCAATTCTATTTAACACAAATTGATAGGTTTTTCGTAATTGCACATTTTTATATATCAAGAAGCCTTATCTGATTAAGATTAATAGTGAATTTTTCTTTAATTGGCTTATTATTGAGTTATTACGAAGATTTTTCTTTTTACATACGAAATATTCACCTTTCATAAATTTAAATTTTTTGTTTAATGTAAAAAAAATATTCATATTTCTGGCAAATTTAATAATGAAATAATAAATTATTATTTCATGATTAAATTCTTCCTCGTGCTTCGCCAGAACACTTGCTATGTCACCCCTGAGTGACCTCCGGTGCGAGGTTCTGGCTCCGCCTTTTTATGTTCACTCTAGAGGTAGGGACCACAAGACCACATGTAGTCGGGGTGCTCTGTGTCGGATCTGTGACTCATTATTTAAAAAAATAATTATCGATTTTACAATCGATACGAGTATGACATCACTCGCTTTATCATGTTGGCTGTACGTACTATTTTTTTTTAATTTCTATTAATAAATTGTTTTATAATCGATACGAGTATGACATCGCCCGCTTCCTATATTTATCATATTGCAGTACTGTATATGGAGCTATTGAAGTCCACTTAATAAAATGGCAGACTTTCGTAGTGAAAATAACAAGTTTTAAATAATTTTTATCTCGAAAACTGTGAGTGAGCAGATAATTCTGCGTGTTGATTATTTCATTAGTAACAAAAAACTTTTCTCTATCGAAAAAAGTTTTTTGTTAGCTCGAAAATCAAACTGTGGTAATGAAAATTAATACCATAAAAAAGTTTTATTGGTAAACATTGCTCAATTTTCTTTAAAGTATTAAAATCATTAAGTGTAAATATTATTAAAGGTTTCATTATTTTACTCTGTTCCACATAATTAGAGAATTGTCTCGAAAATATTTGTGCAATTTTAGTTATTCTATCGTTGGGGATTTGTAAATACCCCTTAACTGCTATAACGGTATCACTTCTACATGAGTATTAATATGAGTATATACATATAGCGTTAGAAATTAGGAGATGGACACAAAGCAGGTTACCATAACTTTAAATAACGTTGGTCGGAACAACGGCATTTTTCATAAACCTTATATAATAAAAACTTTCTTCTTAATTTCTATAAATATATTATGAAAACAACATTTGCAACTGTAAATTAAAACAAACCTCGTATACTTATATCATGTACAAAATTACAACTAAGAAAAAAATAATTACACTTCGTTATACAGTACCGAACATTATGACTTTACTCATCATCTCATTGTAGTCAAGTTACTCTAAGCTTTGTAAGTTGGTTATTATCGTTCGTTATTATATAAAAATAGGGTATCTTATTGATATGTCTATTCTTATTATGTAATGTGTTTCTCTCTAAATTACGTAATCCTTGTTTGTTTGAAGACAATAAAAATTAGTACGTTTAGATTGCTAGTAACGCTGTTAAACAGACTGTATGTGCAATTATATCAACTTCAAATTTCATTTCATAAAATCTGAGCACCCACAAACTACACTCAAATTATTTGTACATTCGATGATATTATTTAACATGCCAATGAATGCATTCGAGATTACGAATTAATACTGTAAATACAAGGTATAAATTCTCGTTCCCCAGATTTACCTTGGTCAACGTAACAACGTAACTTTTAACGTAATTTTTAATTGTAATTATGAAACTGATTTCTAGTTTGTTAAGAAATGTGTATAGAATTATTTATAAGAATTCATACTTGCATTTGTCGGCATGTTAGGCCAAAGCATTTAAAGTCATTAAATAAAACATTTGATGTCATAGAAAGTAATTATAAAAATAATTGATTCGTTAACGAAAACACTTGCTGTCCTTTCGTGTAAGAAATTAGATTAGATATATAAAATTATCACATTTATTAAGACGACTATGTAAATGGCAATAGTAAGCTTTTAAATAATTTTAATAGATACTTAATTTTCGCTTCTTTCAATTATTTTTAATAAAATTCAATTAATTTTTCTTTGCATGAATCAATAAACATTTCCGGTTAAAATTATCGGTACAAATTAATCAAAATTAATAGAATTCTGGCCACCTCTTTTCATTCATGTTATATAACGTCAATTAAAACACATACATTCGTAGGTGTAGCATCAGTGTCATATTTAAATATACTATTTGTTACTTAAATAATTCTTTAACTATTTATGTTTTTCATAAAAATGGTAGCGTAATAAAGCTAATGCGGTAGACTTGTGGCTGTGTTCCAATTGTTTAAATTAAATTTATCATTATTAGAAACGGGCATGGCAAATTATTTATTGTTTTTTAATTGGCATTGGAAGGCCTCCCTCAAGGTGGACCGACGACAACATAAGAGTCGCGGGCAACCGGTGGATGCAACTGGCAAAGTGTCATTCGTTGTGGCGTTCTAAGAGGGAGGCCTATGTTCAACAGCGGACGTCTTGCGGCTGATGATAATGACGATGATGGCACATTAATGCTAGCGTGTTATAAATTAATTAGCTCAAATATATAATTTTTTCGCGTGGGCTCACTAACGCTGAGCAAGATCCTGGCAATTGTTTATTGTAGTTTCTCTCAATTAAGCTGTAATTGAGCATTTCGGTTATATGTGTGTTTTATGATAAATATATAAATATAGGGTGATTTATGTAAATTCTGAGGAATTAAAATTAGGATCTATTCGAATTTTGAATAAATTGTTATAAATAAATAGCAGTGTTGAATTGACACTAAAAAGCCTCATGAGGCTATCAAGTTTTTAAAAATTGCAAATTCCCACTCTTGTGTGGCGTTATCATAATTAATTGGAACAAACCTCCCTTTTTTTTATTACAGAATGACTCATTTTCTTTATTTCTCCGGTAATAAGCAGTGGAAATTAATAATGAACTGAGAGTCAATTGCCATTATTAAATATTAGGTAATGTGGATATCAGTACAATGTTGACCACCTTAAAGAAAGTCACTTTGATAGAATTCTCTGAATTTAATTCCCATTGTAGATAAGATTCTTTGGAATGGATCGAATCAACACTGTTATATTAGTACTTCCATGGCGACTCCACGGATATATTTAATCTGTGGTATTGACATGGTGACATTAGAATAATTTCTAGTGATAACATATGATCAGTATACTTGAATTCTAAGATAAACATTGTCTAATTCTAAAAATTTGTTATTCTATGTAAATATAAATTGTAACTGTAAAATCAAAGGGTAGATTACTACCGCTAGGTGTTGTACATAACTTGTCAGTGTTATTTAAAATTACCTTCTGTACAAACAATTTTGGTGATCCTATATGCAATAAATACTTCTCCGAATGTTTGTATTTCATTTATACAACCCCAATGTGTCTCAATAGCGTTTGAAAAGGTCGTCTAAAAACCAGTCCTTTAATCGAATACATTATTAGTTTTACATTGTTACTATTACTTTTTAATAAATACTTTTTTTAAGCTGTGGTAGTGGCCCTACCAGTCTTCACTGTTGCACTACCGGGCAACACCGTCCGGGGAAATACCGTGAAAGGAAATGGTTACCCTTCTGCATTCCGACGCACACTTAATTAAAAGGTCGCAACGCACTAGCGACGGTTATCTCTTCACATTAGTTGAACCACGAACTCACTTGCTTAAATTTAAAGACGAAGGAGTTAAAGAAGAAAAGTAAAGCTTAAAGTTATAGTAATGGTAAAAGTTAAGAGGCTCAACTTTTTCTATCACCGGTTTAAAACATTAGTTACTGTCCAGTGTTAAATTACCATTTTAAGTGACGGAGAACGGTAACAATTAGTGGTAAACGAGTCACTGCTCGGTAAACGCCTATTTATTCTTGCCTAGAGGGCACCCGCTTTGTAACTGGACGGAAAGAGGTATATGGCTTGATTGCTTGCAGATTGCAATTCCCTCGCTCTA